CCCCCCCCCGGGAAACAGAATACTAGTAGTAGTCCTTTCTCTTCCGTAAATTAAACCGGCTCCTCTGTGAACCATCTTCTTCTACTTCTTCTTCTTGTCCTTCAGACGACGAATTGTGGAAATCTCCTTCCCCCTCGTCCTCTTAATCGCTGTCCGAGTCAGAGGGGACGGTATACTTAATAGTAGTCGGTCGCCCGCGCCCGGCTAACTGCTCAGGCAAAAAACCTTCACCACCTTTTCCCTCACCCGGAAATTTGGGTGCCCTTCACCCTTCTTTATCTTCATCCTCAACTTTCACTTCCATCACCATCGTCACCCTCTTGGCGTGATTCCTGTTCGCGTGATCGCAGCTCGCATCGCGGACTCGGACTCGCAGCCTTGTGATCGAAGTTGGTAGCTGTTCTATTCCGCCGCCAAGTATCGACATCGCTCTTGGCGTCGCTTTCGAGCCAAGCAAACAATGGCTGACCTGGGCGAGAGAAACACGCCCACGCCCAACCCTCCTGCCCCTCAAGAGGTGGTTCAGCAACAAGGCCAACTCCAGCAGCAGCCGCTGGCCTCGAACCAGCCTGCGCCCAACGTCAACGCCGCCGGTGAAAACCTGCAGTGCCAGTGGCAAGGATGCGGCGAGCGCTGCCCTTCAGCTGAATCGCTCTATGTGAGCCTCTCTCTCTCTCCCCCCCCTCTGCTGATGGCGAGGCGCCTAACATTTGACTCCAGGAGCACGTCTGCGAGCGCCATGTCGGTCGCAAGTCGACCAACAATCTCAACTTGACCTGCGCCTGGGGCCAGTGCCGTACCACCACCGTCAAGCGCGACCACATCACCTCCCACATCCGCGTCCACGTTCCCTTGAAACCTCACAAGTGCGAGTTCTGCGGCAAGGCCTTCAAGCGTCCGCAGGACCTCAAGAAACATGTCAAGACTCACGCCGACGATAGCGTCATCATGCGCTCTCCCAACATGGAGCCAGGCGGTGGCCAGCGTCAATCTCAGAATGGCATGGGACAAGGTGGGCATTACGGCGCCTCATACTATGGTCGCAGTCTGACTGGACAAGTGCCTCCAAACTACTATGCCCCAGCCATGCCAGGTCCGCAAGATTACACTGGCCAGCACCACCCAAATCAGTACTACCAGCCTCATCCCCCCGTCCAGGTAAGCATGTCTGGCCTGTTTTGTTTTTTTTTTTGGCTTGCGTGAAGATGCTAACAACGAACGCCAGACGGGACAACACCCGGGCTATGGTCCAGTGACTTACTACAGTACCGCACCTCAGACCACCTACGACTACGAAGCCCGCAAGCGCGGCTATGATGCGCTTGATCACTTCTTTGGCCAAGTCAAGCGCAGGGAGGTCGACCCAATCAACTTCCACAATGTCAGCCGCCGTCTATTTGAGCTCCAAGGCCTTCAGCTGCCACAGATCATCCCCGCTGCGATCCCGACTCCTGCCTATCAACCGGTGTCGGTCGGTGGCGGCTATGGGCAAGAAGATCCTATCCAGGCCTACAGCTTGCCGCCGATGGGTAACGCGAAGACGAGGGAGGACTTGACGTCTATCGACCAAATCCTAGAGCAGATGCAAGCTACCATCTACGAAAACGATGCTCATCTCACCGCTGGCGTCGCACCAACGGGCTCCGGTTATGTGACCTACGCCCGCTCTTCCAACAGTCCCCCGACCTCGTCCCATCTTCCATCAGCTGCCGCTCACGCGAATTCGACCTCGTTGCTTCAGCATGGTCACCAAGACAGCATCGCCAGCGCCACCGATGCCAGCACACCAGGTCTGACTCCTCCGTCGTCTGCACAAAGTTACACTTCCGGCCAAAGTCCCCTGCCTGGCCACGCCGCACCAACCAGCAGCGCCATGTATCCGACTTTGCCAGCCAGTGCGAGCGACATGGCATACGCGGCTGCCAATGCCGCGACTCTCAGCGGTCTCTACGAGACTGATGATCGCCGCCGCTGGGACGGCGGACGACTACAGCGCGCTGCGCCTGGCAAGATCAAGGACGAAATGGACATGGGAAGCGACGGTTCCGTCACTCCTCCGGCCTCTGCTGCCAACAAAGAGCCCAAGGGCAAGAAGAAGGCTTCGCCGCAAGATAGTGTCATTGATCCTGCCCTCGCGAGTGCCGAAGGCGCCGAGACGCCGAGGAGCGGCGAATCCAAAGATGCCCCAGACCAGACCGAGATGTGGGTGCAGAATATGCGTCTCATTGAATGGATGCGCGAGTTCATCAAGAAGAAGCTGCAGAGCGGTGACTATGAGGATGGCGCAGGGCCGGCCAAGGACTCAGCAAAGGACTCTGGCGAGCACCGAGACGCCGAGATGACGGGCACAGACGAACACAAAGAAAAGTCTGAGGAAGAACAACTTTACCCGGTGCTGCGGCACGTAGAAGAAGCCGTCTAATCTAGTGGCTGCTGATGATGGGATCATACTGGAAGGTAGCAGGAATGTCGGGTTTTGTTCAGATACTGATGACAAAAGGACGGGTTCAATTATGGCTTTCACGAGAGCCTCAAGGGGGCGTTGGATGGGCTGGCCATGAATCGATGACTTTTATTCATTACACTCATCATTTTGATAGTCGGGGCCATCGGGTCAGACTGTATGAATGATTATGACAACACAATGGGATCCCAGACGTTGACGCCGAGATGGAACGATCAGGGCGAATTGTCCCTCGGCCGTCTTTTCTCCATCTGCTCATTGCTCAATCAAGCCGTGTACAAGTACATGCTTTGACCCTTGCATCCAGCGTGCCACTGTCCGGGTGCAGCCGCATTCTCAAGTGCCCCCTGTTGAAAGAACTTGTGCGTCATACTTGGGTATACCTTGTTCGCCCTCGATCAGATGGTCTTTGCAAGGGCAGAGGCAGTCAGCCGCCATGGAGGAACCCTCCAAGCAACCAACAGCACATCCACCAATTTATGGAGCTGCGGGACTCGGGACTGTGAACGATGCCGTGCGTTGTACAATTAAGCTTTTCATCCTCACTTCCTCTCCCAAGCCTCCAATCCATCAACCCTCGTCGCTTCACAAATGCAGATACCATCTGCAATGCCCATCTCCTGGCAATCTCCTTACTGACGGCTTTCGACAAGTACGATTGTAGCATCTTCTCGTGTTGCATTGATTACGTTATAAGAAGGGGAATTGGCCTTGCAAACATGCTTCAATGAAATCAGGTGATTCCTGCAGCGTTTCTCTGCCAATTGACGGATAAGCTCGGTAAGTGGTACACTTTGACCTCTCCTGATGGCCTTTCCATCGTCACCTGTTCGGGGACCCAGCACCATCCTCCACAAATCGGCGGCGGTGGCTTGTAGAGATTGGTTGGAGATCTCAAGAGGCGTACGTGGACTCTGGTCTCACATCCGACCCGAGCATCAATGCGCTCGTACATGTCTCCAGTGCCCAGACATCTCATGACCGCACAATCTCATTTAATGAAGCGTCATCGCTTCAAAGCGCACCCAGGGAAGCGAGTTATATGGGGATATAGGATTCAATACCAACCATCCTCACGTTGACATCTAAGACATACCTAATTGACCTTTGTTACTTGTTGGAAGGGAGGAAACAGAAACAAGCAGATCATGAACGGATCAAGCCAAAAGGTGTTGGTACGCAATTTTGAGAATGTGGTGCGAGGAGATGTTACGTCGGTCGGAGGCAAGAATGCCTCGTTGGGAGAGATGATCCGTGGCCTCAAAGCAGAGGGTGTTGCTGTCCCGCCTGGCTTTGCCACGACCGCCGACGCATATTGGCGCTACGTCGACGCCAACGACATCAGGACCAAGATGACCAAACTGATTGAAGAGTGGCAATCTGGCAAAACAACTCTTTCAGCGACTGGCCAGGCTGTGAGGGATCTATTTTTGCGCGGCGACTGGCCGCAGGATCTGTCAACAGCCATCACAACCGCCTACCAGCAGCTTTCGGCGCAAGCAGGCATTGAGAATCTGTCTGTTGCTGTGCGTTCCAGTGCCACCGCCGAGGACCTGCCCAACGCCAGTTTTGCCGGTCAGCAAGAATCATACCTGAACATCTCGGGTCCAGCTGCCCTCCTCAACGCCTGTCGACGTTGCTATGCTTCACTCTTCACAGACCGGGCCATCAGCTACCGTCAAACCGAGCATTTCGATCATCTCAAAGTCGCCCTTTCCATCGGTGTGCAACGCATGGTTCGCTCGGATGCTGCCGGCTCAGGGGTGATGTTTACTCTTGACACTGAAAGTGGCTTCAACAAGGTTGTGCTCATCAACGCAGCCTGGGGTCTGGGCGAGAATATCGTCCAGGGCACTGTCAATCCCGACGAATACCAGGTTTTCAAACCGCTCCTCACCAACCCCGACCTCGTCCCGATCATCGAGAAGAAACGGGGTGAAAAGGCGATGAAGATGATATATGGAAATGAGCATATGCCAACCCGCAATGTGCCCACCTCAAAGGCAGAGAGGAACAGCTTCGTGCTCAGCGACCCGGAAATCCTCAATCTGGCGCGGTGGGCGTGCATCATCGAGAACCACTACAAATGCCCCATGGACATAGAATGGGCCAAGGACGGCATCACAGGAGAGATGTTCATCGTCCAGGCGCGGCCGGAGACTGTGCAAGCACGACGTGAAGCTGGTGCCTTCAAAACCTACAAGATCGGCAAAAAGGGTCGTGTGCTAGCGACCGGTCTTTCGGTTGGCGAGGCCGCCGTGTCGGGTCGTCTCTGCCTCATCGAAACCGCCAAAGACATAGGCAAGTTCGTGGATGGGTCGATTCTGGTCACGGAAACGACTGATCCTGACTGGGTGCCCATCATGAAACGAGCCGCAGCCATCATCACCGACCACGGTGGACGAACATCGCATGCAGCAATTGTCAGCCGTGAGCTGGGTGTTCCCGCCGTTGTTGGGACGGGCAATGCCACCTATGTCCTACATACGGGACAAGATGTTACCGTATCTTGTGCCGAGGGCGATACCGCGTTTGTCTATGAAGGCATCTCCGAGATCACCACCAAGGAGATCGACGTGCATGGACTGCCACCGACAAAGACAAATGTCATGCTCAATCTCGCCAACCCGGCATCTGCCTATCGTTGGTGGCGTCTCCCGGCCGACGGCATCGGACTCGCACGGATGGAGTTCGTCGTCAGCAGCATTCAAGTTCACCCCATGGCGCTGGTCCATTTCGAGAAATTGAAGGACGAAAAGGCCCAGGCCGAAATCACCAGACTGACCGCCGGGTACAAGGACAAGCCCGAGTACTTTGTGGACAAGCTCTCGCGGGGGCTCGCCTGCTTGTGCGCGGCCGTGTACCCCAAGCCAGCCATCATCCGGATGAGCGACTTCAAGACCAACGAGTACGCCAACCTGATCGGCGGGAAAGACTTTGAGCCCAAGGAGGAGAACCCGATGCTGGGGTTCCGGGGTGCGTCGCGGTACTACTCCCCGCGGTACAAGGAAGGCTTCGCGCTGGAATGCCGCGCGATCAAACGGGTGCGGGAGGAGATGGGCTTCACCAACGCCATCGTCATGATCCCCTTCTGCCGGACGGTGGGCGAGGCGGCCAAGGTGATGGCGGTCATGGCGGAGAACGGGCTGCGGCGCGGCGAGAACGGGCTGCAGGTGTACGTCATGTGCGAGATCCCGTCCAACGTGATCCTGGCCGAGGAGTTCACGCGCCAGTTCGACGGCTTCTCCATCGGCTCCAACGACCTGACGCAGCTGACGCTGGGCGTGGACCGCGACTCGGCCGAGCTGGCCGACCTGTTCGACGAGCAGGACGCCGCCGTCAAGTGGATGATCGAGCACGTCATCACCGTCGCCCGCCGCGCCGGCCGCAAGATCGGCCTCTGCGGCCAGGCCCCCAGCAACCACCCGGAGTTCGCGGCCTTCTTGGTCCAGTGCGGCATCAGCTCCGTCTCCGTCAGCCCGGACAGCTTCCTCGAGGTCAAGAGGCACGTCATTGCGAGCGAGAAGGCCAAGGCGAACGGCGTCGCGAATGGCTCGTGATTTTCCGTCCGTTGTATGTCGTCCGGGATCTAACAGCCCAAAAGCCCGGAAGGGAGGATGATTTGATTTGGGGGGTTAATGAAGGAGGAGGGGGAGAAGAAGTGGGAAAAGAGGTGGAAAAGGAATTTCAGAAAATATGTGTCACTATAAAAACCTCTTGTTGCTATAGCTATTGTAATACTTATGGCTGTCCATCGTATCCGTATCCATGTATATATGTCCAGCCCGACCAGCTACCAACTGTCAAATCAGAGGGTAGCGTGCACCGAAAATATGAAGAGGGAGACATGAATCAACACTTATTGTTTTTGTTTAGGCAGGTCTCTGGAGGGCATTGTCTTGTGATTTATCAATTGATTCAATCCAACACTAATCCCCTACACTCCATTTCCAAGAGCCTGGGGTGTGCAGGGAGTGCCATTGATGAGTGAGTGAGTGAGTGAGTGACTTTAAAACCCAACTTCCCGCATCCAGACCAGTCCTGGTCCTGGTCCTGGTCCTGGTCCTGGTAAAGTTCCCCCTTGACGCAGCAGTTGCACCCCGTAAAGCAGTAGTCTCGACACCGGACTGGGCGACGGAGGGAGTGAAAGGAAACGTCGGGAAATAGTGAGAGCAAAAGACGCCGTGTGAGATAAGAAAACATTGCCACGCAACACCCCCCGAGGAGCACCCTTCGTCCAGTTACCCCGTCCGTCCACCCTGGCCCCTTTGAAGCCTTTGGACCTTTGAACCCATCCATACCCTTATACACGTGTGGCCCTTTGAGCCCATCCATACCCTATACACGCGTTGTCCTCTGAGCCATTCGAACATCCCATGACACTCTGAGCCGTTCAATCCCACATGACCCCTCTAAGCCCGCTCAACCCACGAGACGAGACGCATTGAACCGGTTTTGACAAAACCCTCCCCGCCTAAGGACCGAGTAATTTCTGGGTCGCCTCCCGGACGACGGTCGCCGACTCGGCCAACTTGGCCTTCTCCTCGGCGGACAGGGGCAGCGGGAGCGGCTTGACGACGCCGTGCCGGCCCAGCACGACGGGCATGCTCACGCAGCAGCCCAGCTCGGGCTGGAAGTGGCTGACGGGGCGGACGTCGCGCCGGTCGAAGAGCACGGCCGCGCAGATGCTCGCCACGACCGAGGCGATGCCGAACGCGATCGCGCCCTTGGTGTCGACGATGCGCTGGCCCTCGCGCTTGCACTCGTCCGCCAGCGCCTCGCGGCTGAATTCCCGCGGCGGCACGGCCTCGTCGATCGGCACCCCGTCGATCGAGGCGTGCGACCACGCCACGAACTGCGAGTCGCCGTGCTCGCCCAGCACGTACGCGTTGATTGGACCCGGGGCGATCTATGGTGGAACGGTCAGCTTTTGGCTGCGAGAGAGGGGGGGTTGGGAGGGATTGGAACCTACCTCGTATTTATCGGCTAGCATCCTCCGAAGTCGAACCGTGTCCAGGAAGGTGCCTGAGCCTATCACTTGGGATTTGGGTAGGCCCGAGAGTTTCTGGGCGAGCGTCGTGAGGACATCCACGGGATGCGACACGACAATCAGGATGAGATCCGAGCGGAATGGTCTCATCGAGTCGATGATCCTCTCCAGGATGGCGGTGTTCCTCTCTATCAGCTGAAGCGAGGTCTCGCCTGGGTTTGCGTGCGTCAGCGTCTCATATCCTCTCAGGACGTAAACAGATGTGGAAAGGTCAATGAACGAGGGGGTCTCCTCTCTCTCACCTCTTGTCCTCTTCGACCCGGCCGTGATCACCACAATGTCACATTCGCCGGCCTCCTTGACCGTTCCGGCCCGGACACGGGTGGTGCTGTCCTCGGCGCAGCACGCGTCCGACAGGTCACGCACCTGGCCGTCTCTCTTCTCGGGCTTCACATCGACCAGCAGCAGCTCGCTGTAAAGGGAGCCTCGCAGGAGGGCATACGCCGTGGCGGCGCCCACCTCTCCGGCTCCGACAATGGCAATCCGAGCAGTCATCTTGTAGTTAGTTTTGGTTAGAGCTTTTTCGTCTTTTTTTTCTTTCGAGAATGTGTCAGTGCCGTCATCCTCTGCGTGAGGCGGCCGGCCCAGGCGGTTTTATAGATCTTGCAAAAAACATATGCATTGGAAAAAGGTGGTCTGCCGGTGGCGTGAGGCTTGGTGCATTGGCGGGTCTTGGGGCGTCCGAGGCATCACATGTTGGACACGTGCCGTAGGATTGTGCACTTTCTGCGGGTTCCACGGCGGTCGATCTGGAATTTCTCTTGTTCAAGGCGTGCATTGCGCTCTTGGCTCGCTGGATACAGGATGGAGGTTGCAAATGCCAAGTGGTTGTATGCTGTGATGGTCGTGTTGTGTGGGTTGTTGTTGTGGTTATGAGGCACGTCTGCAGAGAAATTGAACCTCCTTGGCAGCGCAGCCTTGTCGCCAATGTTTCCATGTCGCGTGGCGATTCCGGGCGCATGATACCTGGGAAGCTGTCGCGCGAGCCACCACCACCACCACCACCTACTTGTAGGGGCAAGTGGTGTTCTATTACGATAGCCGCCACTGCATTCTCAGGCAATAGAGAGTCCCTCAACGATGTGCTACTTGTACACCGACCCTGCAAGTCGGGGCTCAACGGGCGCGAGCATCAGATCATGCCGACCGAGCACGATAACTGGCGGACAGATGGAGCACTAATCTGAGGCACCTCTCGCGTTTTGAGCATCCGACCGACGGGAAATCGTATACGACACATCTGTTGGAGGAAGCGGATTTCTGCATAAAATTACGATTAATTCCTTCGGCCTGACAACAAGAAGGTGGACGACTGCAATCTCTATGAACGCCCTTTTCAGCTCATATCCTCAATGTTGGCAATCTCAGGTCTGAAAATCAACTTTGAAGAAACTGACCACCAAGGCCGTCAAGTGCTGGACTATGCCTTCAAGCCCAAGGGTTGCTCCTGTCGCGTCCATTCAATGGTCGTGACGGCCACGTATCTCGAGGCAGAGGCCACCCACGGCTGCACAGGCAAGACTAACGGCCACATCTTAACGACTAAGTCAATTCAGTGCAAAGCATGAATTGTGTGGCCCGTCCGTGATGTGACATATACGGGTGCTGCACCTATACTTCATGGGACAAACGTATCAAAATGCACTTGCTCGATCTCTTGGAACTAATAAGTCGCATTGGAGCTTTCACGTATGTCACTGTATACCTGCAATGCATGAGTCGTCGCCTTTGCAAGAGATCTATACCAAAGTATTCACTGGCCCATTGTATTGGGAGCAATGAGTCACATAATATTCTCTGCGGAGTGTCCAATTTCTCCCCGGCTAGCGGAGTCGGCATATTTCACTGACTAGCCCTCCGCCTTGTGGTCGACAGCTACATATTATTACGTAGATCCTCGAGGCTTATGGGGGTATTTGGGGTTAGCGAGGTATAAAGGGCGCCTATACCCCAGCAGGGCACAACATGTACCGAGCCTAATTAATTCATCACTGATCACTCTAAACGCTACAGAGACCATATACAGAGACAATATGCCCGTCCTAGAGATTGACACAGCGCGTGATCCAAACCTCGAAATAGAAATCCCTCAACAGCATCCTCCAGCACCACTACAAGTGCAGCAGCAACCAGTCCAACCTTCAAAACTGTAGGCATACACGTCCAGTCCACAACTCCTCGAGTCAGAGCTGATCATCTCTACAGTCAACATGTCCTGATAGTTGTCGCCTCAACGACACTCATTTTCACAGTTTGCGGGATTGGCTTCTCCTTTGGTGTTTACCAGGATGTCTATCAAGAGCTATCCCACGACCCGTCATCGCCCTTCTACGGCTCATCGCCAGCCATGATTGACCTCATCGGCACACTGGCAATCTCTCTCATGACAATTGGTGCCCCATACACGACGGCCTGGACCAAACAATTCCCGCCACGCTTCGTCATCTGGGCCGGTGGAATCGTGTTCTCTCTTGCCTTACTGTTGGCCTCTTTCAGCCGACGAATGTGGGAGGTTCAGCTTACCCAGGGGTTTCTCTGCGGTATAGGGACTTGTCTGTCGTATATGCCCGCCGTCACAGTGGCCCCAACATGGTTCACTGCCCGTCGCGGCCTCGCCATGGGTATTATTCTCTCGGGCACTGGTATCGGAGGCGTCGTCTGGGCCCCGATCCTGCACGCTCTGGTCACCAAGACCGGGTTCCGCAACTCTCTACGCATATCGGCCGCCGTTGCCTTTGTACTCATCAGTGCCGCTGCCCCTGTCATGCGTTGGGAAGCTGCGGCAGCTCGCCGGTTCAGAGCAGAGGCGAGACGTCCGTCAGGCATAGTTGGGCTGTTCAAAATCCCCCTGGTGGACTATCGCATTGCTCGGTCACGCACGTTCCTCGCCCAAGGGCTGGGCGCCGCTCTGCAATCTGCGGCATACTACACGCCCGTGTTTTTCTTCGCCTCGTACGCAAGGACCTTGGGCTACTCGTCGGCTACGGCCTCGAACTTCATCGCCCTGTCCAATGCGGCCAACGCTGTCGGGAAGATCACCATCGGCCACGCAGCAGACAGGATCGGCCGGCTCAACGCATTGTTCCTGACGACGGCCATCTCGGCCATTGCGGCTCTTGGCCTGTGGATTCCCTCCTCCCTTTCCTCGACCCAGTCCGAGGGCCGCAACCTGTTCATCGCCTTCACCGTGCTCTATGGCATCTTCGCGTCTGCATATGTGTCACTGTTCCCCACCTCTCTTGTAGAGCTCTTTGGAGTCCAAAACTTTGCCTCGGTAAATGGCTTTCTGTACATGGTGCGAGGATTGGCCACGATGGTTGGGACACCCGTCGCTGGCGCACTGATCCGGAGTGCTACCCGTGAAAAGGGCCCAGCGCCCTATCAGAATACTGCCATTCTGGTTGGCGTGCTGCTGGCAACGGCCACCATCGCTGTGTTTTGGGTCAGGCTCGAGGCTGCGGTCAGCAATTTGAGGCAAGGAGGCGCAAGATGGAAGCTATGAGATGTATCTCACAGTCGATAGAACATGTTTGGCTTGGCTCCTTTACTGGGCGGTAAGGTCGCCGATGTTCGGATTGAATCCGCCGTTTACGGAGCCGAGTTATGGCCTAATCGTGACTCTCATCTGAGGGCATCCGATGATTCCATTTCGGATCCCGCATCCCGCATCCCTCATCCCTCCTCCCACCAACCCGCAAACGCAAACCCCGCACTCACCGACCTGCTCAGTCCGACAAACTTGGCTATCAAATCGATATGTGGACGCCTTCCAAAAGCCCTGTCCGCATAATCCATCTACGAATCTCGAAAGACCGGCCTACCTGATCCACTGTCCGGAAAAACATCCAGGGATATCCACAAGGGCAACCCAGATGGGGCTCTATCGCTGTCAAATCTGCTCCAAGCCCTTCAAGCGGAACGAGCACTTGAGCCGGCACAAGAGAAGCCACTACTCTGACCGGCCATTCACATGTCCGCTCTGCTTAAGGTCATTCACAAGGCAGTAAGACATAGCCTTCCTATCCAACGCCCGGGGGCCATTTTGTAGAGATGGAAGGACTGACCAGACGGTGCAAACAGAGATACTCTCTTACGACACATCTCGTCTCACGCGAAACCAACAGCAACACGAACCACCACCTCCTCGAAAAGACCGTACGAGGAACCATCTGAACCTGACCACCAGGAGCCCATTTCTCTCGCCGACGGCAGAGACAACACGACACCCACGCCCCAGCGACGCGACGCCGACCAAGATCCGACAGATTACACCGGCCTGCTCGCGTCGGAGCAGATGGATCTCCCGGCGTTGGCCGGCTTCAGCTCAGAACAAGACATCGACGTGCCCCCGGAGCTCGCCGAGTACGATACCGCCGTGTTCGAGACACCGAGCGTGATCCCGTCGAGTGGCGGTCGCATCATCGAGATCGACGACCTCGACCCCTCGGAGGTCGCCCGCCTTTTTGGCAGCGACGGCAGCCCTCTGGCGGCCGCGAGCAGCGCCTCGCCGATCCTCGACCGGTACCAGTCCCACGGGTCGGATTCGCAGCCTGAGGCCTTCGAGTTGCCGACGGAGCTGTTCAACAGCACGGTGGACGTCCACGCCAGGACATGGCTCCGGGATTTCTGTGCTGGAGGGTGATTTTTGCCACGATGTAATCTTCTAACCGGATTTAAAAACATGTATGACTGTATTGACCGCTGCAAAGGAATAATCCAAGATAGCTCGCTCCTGTAATTTTACATTTCCATACAACCTAGATAGGCACATATATACCGAGTACACCCCCAATATTTCCACCACAAATAAAAGAAAATGCGGGTGTGGCGTATATCATCTATTCACGACCCGACTAGCTATATCTCAATCTCGGCCCCGATCATGGCCTCAATGCGCGCCTTGAGCCGGAACACCGCCGGCTGCGTGAGGGCGACGGGCCGCCCGACGTCCTCGTGCGGCAGGCTCGGGAAGCTCTTGACCTTCCAGGCCGAGGCGGCCGTGTCGGCGTACAGGCACGGGTACGCCTCGAAGAAGCAGTCGTCCAGCTTCTGCGTGTCGAACTCGTCGTACTCGAGGTCGTAGGCGCGCAGCAGGGCACGCACGCCCGGCGAGCGCAGCACCGGCTTCTTGTCCAGCCCAGGCTCGGCCAGCGGGTTCGTCCCGTGCGCCTTTTCCAGGCACACCAGGTCCCACACGCGAAAGGAGGTTTTGTCGTTCGCGTTGTCGTTGTCGTTGTCGTCGTCATGCTCGGTGGCGGCGGCAGCGGGGTCTGGGTTTCGATAGATGGGAGTTGTTGTTGTGGCGCTGCGGCCGTCGTCGTCGTCGTCTTTCCTGAGGAGCGAAGAGGAAGATGTCATGGTGGGTAGCGAGGAAGACTGGGTCTTCGTCCGTCCGCGCGGCCGTCTCTTCCGGTGCGCGACCACGTTGTGGATGGCCATCCGGAACAGCGCGTCCACGTCGATCTGGTCCTGGTACATGATCGCCATGTCGCGCACGTCCGGCCACGGCATCCAGTCGATCATGGGCGAGTGCGGGACCGACAGCTGCGCCCGCGTCGGACGGTATGCCGGGGGTAGCTGGTTGTATGAGCGCTGGCAGGGGAAGTTGCGCCAGAGCTCGGCGTGGAGGAAGCCTCGAAAGGTAGCCTATTTTTTGGGACCGTGATTGTCAGCATCATACTCACACGTTTCAACCACCGCGAATGGCGACATTGATTTGGGGCCTAATGTACCGTCAAATTCCAGTACCCTTCGGCTGCAGGCCACGCCTCGCGGACCACCCACAGCACGCCTTCGGCAGTGATAGCGCGTTGTAATTCGTTGCTGTCGGATCCGTTAGCATTTGCCTGTACAGAACTACCTGCAGTAGCGAGGGCGTTCAGACATGCGGCCTCACCTCAAAATACACCGTTCCGCTGAACACCGAAGCAGCTGCCTCAGCGCCGTAATGTACGTGTCCAGCCGGGACTTCGGCAGGCTGGTGTTGAAGCCCATGATCAGGTTCAGGCTGGACAGAGGGTGCGCGAAGGTGTAGTCGAACAGCGTGGCCCGATCCAGGCGCGCGAGGGCCCGCGTGATGGCTTGCTGCGCCTCCTTCTGGGATTTGTCGCACTCGTCGTGGCGATTCGCGCGCGCGGCACGTTCGGTGTGTCTGTGGTTGCTAATGGTGCTCGCACTCTCCAGACTGCGCGCGCGGTGGTGTCGTGATATTTCCAGGACAGGCGGTAATGTGGGAGCGAAAACACCGGTTGCAGTTGTATTTGTCGTCGCGGCTGTCGCGGTAGATGCGGGAGTTGAGAAGGCATCGTCATTTGTCATCCGTATATCCCGATCCCAATCCAAGAGCGAAGAGTCATGAGCTGAGCCAGACGCAAATGGCTGTCGCAGCAAGTCGCCCTCAGAAGACAGTCGCGGACGCTTGAACGAAGGCGGTGTCGAGTCTGAAGCCGTGACGGTCGATCCCCAACGCGCCGTCTTGTTTTGGTGTCGAATAGGTACGCGCTGTTGATATGTAGTTGAAGATTTGTCCGGATGTCGAAATTCTGCCTCATCTCCCTGCGAAAGAGGCCGTTGTAGTTGCTCGGTAGAGACTTTCCCTGGCACATCCTCGCTCTCGAGGTAGTACAGACTCTGGGAATCGTCCAGAACCCATTGCCCAGGCATGTTTCCAGGCAGTCTCTTGTGATCGGAGTCGCGTGAGGCGTAAGATATGGTATACGCAGCTAAGAGGGTGTGTCACTTGTGCTGGGTCTTGCTTGACAGTTGCTTATTGGATGCATTTAGAGACGCTCATGCGAGTCCACACTTGCACGACGTCAGTCTCTTGTTCAATAGGTCCACTTGGCAAGGCCCAAATGAATATCAAAATGGGCACGCAGACCGAACTGTGGCAAGGAGGAGGGGAGCGGGAGTCAAGGATTTGTCGCCAAGGCTGCACGGCACTTGCTCTGAGTAAGCGGGGTCCCCAGGAATTCCTGCTCCGTGATTCGACGTTCCACTCTGCTGGTGTCTTCCCCGCATTGCTTATTGAACGGATGCCTATTGGATACGGTCCAAGGGTCTATTTAGACATATACTCTATGTATATCGAGTGCATGTCAGATATACATGCATATCCTTGATCGTCTTTAATGCCGCCCTACTGGAGAATCTCTGATGAGAGAATATGGATCACCACCGTGACCTGCAACTTGCGAGACGATCTGCGCTGTAACTCCTTCCACAGACGAGTCGAGCTGTACAAGTTCATTGCGAGCTCAAATCTTTGTGGAAGAATCAGAAAAGGAAACAGAGTACAGAAACAAACGAGCCGAATGAAGACGATAAAGTCCGATCCGATCACTAGGTTCGCTTGAGTGATTCCCTGATCAGATGCTGTCTCATGGTCGCATCTTGGTATGGTTGAACTGGGACCATTACATGCGTGGCAATGCTAGCCTGCTAATGCAAATCCTTGTCTGAGATTTCTGGAGATCAAAAGCCATGCCCTGAAGAGTAGAATCAAGCCAGCCTAATCGCTAAGCATCTCGGCCCGAAAATACTCGAGCCACCCTTCATTCTTCTTCCGCTCAGGATGGTGCTCGTCCAGCACTTTTCTTTGTATCCCAACGACATAGTCCATCAGCTGCAGCGCTTCATTGTGCTGTCCAAGATCCCAGAGCACGGTGGCCAGCACTTGCTGTGAGGCTAGTCGATTTGGATGTTCCTCCGCGAGTATGCACTTCCTGATCTCGACGACCTGTTCTATTAACGCCAGTGCCTCGTCGGTCTGTCCGTTCGCTCGATATACTCTCGCTAGCTCATGCATTGAGCCTAGTCGATTTGGATGTTCCTCCGCGAGTGTGCGCTTCTGGATCTCGACGACCTGTTCTATTAACGCCAGTGCCTCGTCGGTCTGTCCGTTCGCTTCATATACTATCGCTAGCTCATACTCTGAGGTTAGTCGATTTGGATGTTCCTCCCCAAGTGTGCGCTTCTCGATCTCGACGACCTGTTCTATTAACGCCAGTGCCTCGTCGGTCTGTCCGTTCGCTCGATATGCTCTCGCTAGCTCATGCATTGAGGCCAGTCGATCTGGGTGTTCCTCCCCAAGTGTGCGCTTCTCAATGTCGACTACCTGTTGTAGTAACGCTAATGCCTCGTCGATCTGTCCGTTCGCTTCATATACTGTCGCTAGCGCATGTAT